CTGAACTAGGATCTATTGCAGTGTAACCTACAATAGGGACTCATGCCTTGCAGCATAAGCCAGGGATGCCAATCCCTCATTAAATTATTTTACAAGACTAATTTTTGTAATACTTGAATTAAATTTCGTAACACTTGAGATTTTGCTATTAAACGGGACATTGTTACACTAATTTATTAGAAAATTAAATTTTTAAAGAAATTAAAAAAATTATTTTTTATATTTATTATTTATTTTTTAAAAAATATATGCTGGGATATTAAATACCCCCAGACTCCCATTCAATCATACATTCAAACTATTAATAATGGTAAATTTTATAAGGGTCCGAAACTTTTCTAAAAAAATGTCGATCATTTCCTAATTCTAATTCTAGATTTTTTTTGACTGATGTTACACAAAAATGAGAGATTTTGATATACAACCAAATCAAATAAAGTTCATATATCATATAATAATATTAATCAAAAATCTCAATTTTGGTCCGTAAGGTGATTTTAAAAGCTTATCCCCCATATATATATCCCCGATTCTCATATCGAAATCGATTCCAATCCCTAGTTCAGCGATGTGCATGGATGAACAATAGGTTTGCATTAAGAACTCGAAATTAATAACTAAACTAGTTCGAATTTAATAATGCCTGATTAAGCGGTACGAGTCTAAATTTTTTTTAAAAAAAAAGGAGAAAGATATTTATTTTTATTCTTACTGTGTATGTTTAATCCAAATGAAAGCAAATGGGTAATCTTTCCTTTATAAGTAGAGGAAAAAGTCATTTGCATGTGTTTAAATAAATTTCCTTCTCTTATAATAACTGTCACCTTTCCGCTTGTCAGAAAAAAAAAGAAAATAATGACTCTTACGATGTTTCTCACTTCGCTCACTTTAGCAACAACGACAAATTTAATATTGATTATCCAATTATTAATAATAACATATGTAGCGAAATATTATTACAAATATTTCACTCGTCAATCACCTCTTCCTGGTCCATTCCCGCTCCCGTTGGTTGGCAATTTATTTCAAGTTGGATTAAATCCAGCAAAATATGCAATGGATCATCACCATGAATTCGGTAAAATGTTTGAAGTTTGGGTCGGAAGCAAACGATTTATATTTCTCTCTCATCACTCGTTAACTGAAAACATCTATATTCCAAACGTAAATAATAAATTCTTTGCAAGAATTCAAATTCCATTTATGGAAAATATCGGTTTACAACATGGTTTAATATTTAATAATAATTATCAAATCTGGAAACGAAATAGGAAATTCGTTGTACAATCACTAATGTCACCTAGATTCCTTAGACGATTCACTTTGCTTGCACAATCATTATTTAATGAAAATGAAAGTTTCTGGGATAAGAAGGAATATCATATTGATTTCGCTAAATGGATCAAAAATTTTACAACCGACATCACCTTAAAAACCACTACACGTAGACCTTCATATTGCCTTAATACATTCGTATTCGGTGATCCAACCAATTCCGAAGAAATTAAAAAGTCTATTAAATTCATTCATGCGACTCTAACATTTTTTAAGAACATCTTGTTTGAAATATTCGTTCCTAACGTGCTTAAACATTATTTTCCTGGATTCTATCATATGAATAAGATGTACATAAAGAATATGAATTGGTTAAATGAGACCATTTCTGATATTATCAAGAAAAGAAGAACGGAAATCGAGAATTATGATGAGGTAAGTTCGGATTTGATAGATATTCTATTGACGCTAAACACTTCACGCGATTCGAACGGATATAATGAAGATGAAACACCAATGAGTGATCAAGAAGTTCGTGCTACCATCATTGAAGTTAGCGCGGCCGGTATTGATACAGTAAGTTTAGACATTTTTTATCATCTTTGAGTGAAATCTACTGTAAATAATTTTTCCTCTTATCTTTTTTATCATTAGACCGCAAATACATGCTGTTTCGTAGTATGGCAATTAAGTCATCATCCTAGAGTTGTCGCACGTTTTCGAGATGAAATGAGAGAAATCCTAGGGGATGACACAACACGACAGATAACCTATGAAGATTTAGAAAAATTCACATACCTTGACGCTATCATTAAAGAATCCCAACGAACCATTCCAGTTGTACCATTATCAATGCGAACGTGCGTAGAGGGTAGTGTTATTGGAGGAAATAGTTGGGAGCCTAATACAGTTTTCTTTATTAATCATGAACAAATTCATAAATCACCTGATTGTTGGGAAAATCCTGATAAATTTATTCCTGAAAGATTTTTAAAAGGGTCTGATCATGAAATCGTCAAGAATAGTTTCATTCCTTTTGGAGGTGGTATAAGAATTTGCCCGGGAAGACATATGGCCATGGTAGAATTGAAAACCTTATTGATTTTAATATATAGAAAGTATGATATTGAATTGGTTGATAAGGTTTCGAAGAAACCGAAAGTGATATTTATTGGTACCAAAACTTGCACTGATTTGAAAGTCATCGCACGCTCTAGAAATTATAATAATGTATAAAATAGGACGGGAATTGGGTTGATGGGAAGCAATTATGTATTATATTCATTGCTTATTGCTTGATTTTATTTGAAGTATATATTAAATATCAAGGAAAAATTTTTAGTTAATTTTTTTTATTTATTTATTTTTTTTTTTTTGTAATAATGCATAACGTGAATCCAACAATATTATATCGTCCCTGTTAAAATTTATCACGAATTTAATATTCGATCCGTGTGAATATTTATTTAAGTCCCAAGTTTTTAATTGACCTGTTCCAATAGAGGCGGGCGTGCGGAACCCGGCCTGGGTTCAAAGCACCAACTCGGATTTTTTATAATTCTGGCAAAAATATAATTAAATTAATTAATTGTATATTTAACGTTACTTTATTTAAATATATTTATTAATAGAAAAGGAAATAAATGCCAAATTAATCAAAAAAAGGAGTAATAAAATGTCAAGAAAAAAAGCAGAAAGGGTGAAGTTTAGCTGTATTTTAATGAAATTATTGACAATCAATAATAGATTACACAGTGAATTAAAATAATTTTTCTCGGTTTTTATTTACAATAAAAATTTGATATATATATATTTATTTATATTATTTGTATTGAATATTAAATTTCTCAACGACAAATAGCATAGCATAAATTAATTATAATGGATTATTATTAAGTCCGGGTCGGGTTGGACTTCAAAATTTGAACTTGTGCAGGCCTTAACCTTTAATAATATAAGTTACGAAATGTTACCTAGAGAAAGGTTCGGTATGATTTATTAAAAAATTATTACAGCCTTCAGTTCGCGTTCTGTATTAGGTTTTAGGAAAAAAAAGGAATCTAAACTAAATTTTCTCAAAAATCGAAACGATCTATTTAGAATCAACGCTGAGGGAAGGATATGATAAATAAATGTCCGAAATGACATAATGACATATAATCCTGATCTGAATATCGGAATTGACGGAATGACGCACAAATATCGTGGCATAGAATGGCGCAGCTTACAGGAAAAAAAAAACTATTTCATCTCATTCAAACTAATAAAGAAAGAGTGTTATTCGTATTGCAAGAGAGTTTGCGTTTTAACAAAATGTTCTCCATGAGTGATATTAGTCGTTAGCAAAATGACCCCACTTCGTTCATAGACTACACAAAATTCAATTTTCTACATCAAAATTTGTATTTGCCCGTTGGAAAAACAAATGAATGTTCATTGTGAAAGTATACGTCTATTGTAGAAATTTACTTTTATAGACCAAATGACGTCAAATATTCGGGAACCAAAAAAAAAAAAAACAAATTCGATTTAATATCAATACTAATTTTATTTCAATGCAATGACAAAGTATCCGTGAAAGAAGTGTAATCTTGAACGCTTTATATAACTTGTTTTATTGATTTAAATTATATTTAGTACATATTTTCCCTTCTAAAAAGCTATAAACAGAAAAAAATAACATTGTATAAAGTACCTTTAATAAAACTAAATATATATAATAATACACAAATTCTTCGTTTTCTTTATCAACTGCTCAAAGTGAAAAATTTTATATAGTTTTTCCATGCTTTACTATGTTTATATTTCATTTTACGTAAAACTTTGGACCATTCCGATGGTGATAATTGTTTCATATTGTACGTTTCAGTTGCAATATACTCAATTTCCCATATTGCTCTGCCTATCACATTAGCCTTCTCAATGTCAAGATAATATTGAATATAATCAGTCAATTCGCCAAACGTTCCTAATGAAGTTGAATACCTGTACTCTCGAATTCCCGAGTTGTGAACTATAAATAATTAAAGTTAAGTTATAATATGATTGATTTGTGACGATTTTATTTATTTGGAAGAACCTAATTAAATTTACTTGCCTGGAACTATTGAAGGTGCATTATACATAACTAAGACTATATTATTGACCGATTTCTTTGAAGGGCCTTCATCCCTATCAAGGTAGTGTAAATTGTATTTGTCACGAAAATTATCGGATTCTGTTAAAAAGGTCAAAGCATCTAGATTTGTATGACCTACAGTATATGAAAAGAAATTAAATCATTAAATCTAAATAATATACAAGACATAATGTTATTTTCTTGGTACATACCAGTGAAGTGACCGTATACAACATCAGAAAATTTCCCGAGCAATTGTACGAATTTATTTTGGCATTTCGGAAGAAACGATGGTTCACCTAAAAAAAATATTACATTCCCTAAATACTCATTGAAAGAAAAGAATCTTTTTTTTTAAAAAAAAAAAAAAAAAATTATAATTTACCATCAGAATCCAAAAGTGGAACATGTTGTGCAATATAAACTACTCTTCCTTCTTCCCTCATATTCTTCAATTGATCTTCAATCCATTTCAATTGAATTGATCCTGGGGATTGTGTATGATGGCAATCCCTTATTTTTTCATTATTTTCGTAGAAATACAGAGAATTTAAGCTTAAAACGCTGAGTTTTGCATTTACATCTTGTCTATAGTACCCGCCATTTGCAAAATCGGATGTTAGATTTAAATTTAAAGGCGCCCATATTTTAGTCAAATTGCCGAAAAGTGTATTTGTTCCACCTTCAAGCTGATTATGTGCTATTCGTTCACAAAATGAAATTAGAATAAATAAAGAAATTGTTGTACTTTCACGTCTTTAAAGAAAACTTACTCCATTCGTCATTGTTTCCTAATGTGGGGATCTGTTTTGAAGTCAAACGTTAATAAGACTGATTTATTTTTGTCTTTCATCAATATTATTAGGTTACTTACAAATTTAGTTTTACTTAAGTTAAAAGTTTCTGTAACATATTTGACAATAGCTCCATGACCCAAGACCACATCTTCTTTTAAAAATGGAAAATTAGGATCCCTATCATGCCTCAAAGAATCACCGGTATAAATTACAAAATCAACATCTTGAAAGTTTTCTTTAAGGAAAGAGAATGCTGAATCTGCCAATGCGAGAGGTGTATCGCATTTTGAACCAACGGTACCAAATTGTCCTGATTTATTTTTCTTTAATTTTGAGGCATAAAGACGACAATAACTTTTTGGGTTCCTATTGGGAAGATAATAAGGGTCAAGGTGGATGTCTGAAGAAGTAAAAAGTAATGTTGAGCCTAATTCGAATTTATGTATTCAGAAAGAATCAATATAACGATACAAGTAATGAATAAATTTATTCACCGGAAATGTGCAAAAATTTCCCCGACATTTCTACATTGTTAATGTCGTTTATCCGAAAAGTATGTTGTTGCGATGAATGTAAATCATTTACATTTATGGGAATTGCTGCTTCAATAAATCTCGTCATATATGTCCCAATTAACCACGGTAAAATATTATTAAATGGTGTCCACATTTTCGTCAAGTATTTTGTTTAATAATGTATTGCGATTTTGTTTTCAAGTTACAGAATCAAAAGAATAAAAAAAAAAAAAAAAAAAAAAAAAAAAAAAAAAAATGAATTCATACCAAATTTAAAGATTGTTTGATTCCGAATTGATAATATGTACGAGGGGATGATCTACAAGACCCATGCATAAATCATTTGAAATTTTAATTTTGATTACCATAACAATTAAAAATCTTACTTGTTGGTCTTTACTAAAAACGATGTCTATAAAGAGCATCTCATATCTAGATGATCTACGTCGTTATTTAGGCGCATTCGCTGCATTTGATTTAGAAATAGATGGAGGTTTGAACCGGTTTTTGTTTTCGAAAACCGGTTTTAGGCCTAAGCCAAAAATCCGACCCGGTTGCATCAGGGTTTATGTAATATCGAATAGTCAAATCGAATTAAACCAGTTTGTTGGACAAAGATTACAAATGTGACGCAGTAGAAATGTTGTCCAATTATAAAATGAATTTTAAACGTTAAAAATTTTTTTGTTTGTATTACAATAGTTGATTTATTTATTTTAAATAAAATTATGATTCGATGTCGTAGAAATACCAAAATTTTTATTGATGTTAACATTTTCCAAATAAAAACAAATTCAAAAATTCAAACTAAACCTATTATTTATTGCAACCAGATTGGTTTAAACCGAATTTAAAACCGGATTGATACCAACCTCAAATTAGAGATAAATTATCAACCCATCGATTACATGTAAACATTTTATCACGTGACCTCGAAATATAATTTTATTAAATACTTTACTGTTGTATTTTTTAAATGTATGATGAAAGTGTTATTCAATAAATTTAATTAATCAGTGTTGCCTCACCATCGGAGTAGTGGGTTGGAACCGGATTTATTCAAAACCGGTTAGACCCGAATTTAAAACTGAAGTACCTATCAGTCATTGGATAAACGATTTTCATATTTTTTGTTACACAATTCTTTGTTTTTTATATTTAAAAAAAAAAATAATTTCTTTAGTTAATTTTTATGAGTAAAATAAAGATAAATTGTTAGATATTTTCATAGTTAAAAGTTAAATATGAACCAAGTTTTAATAATTATTGTCTGAAGTGAAGCGGAATTTCATAAATAAATTTAGTGTACATCGCTACGCTTCGGACAATAATTAAAATTATAATGAAAAAAAAATTTAATTATCATTAATGTTAATAATATAAGTGAATAATTAAGAAATGAGGGTGGTTTTTTTTTTTCAAATCTAATAATTACTTTTATTTGGGAGTACTATATTTAATAAAATTTAATTTTTTTTTTACGCAAAATTTATGCTTTAATTTTAACATTAATGTTAACGCTGCCCAAGAATTAAAAAGAAACTTCCCCTGTATAAGTTCGTATTGACTGCAGTTTTAGCAAAGTGAAAGTTTGAAATAATAACTTAGTTAAAAATATAATTAATATAAATTCTTAAACAATCAGAGTATATATATTCCTAATATCTATATTATGGTTGTTAAGAATATATTAATAAATCATATTAGACGGATCTTCTTTTTTTATGCTTTTAATATAAATGATCGATAAAAAACGATCGATACTATTATGAAAAGACATTAGACCCCTGCAATTTATGACATTTTACTTGCGGCGCTTAACGTTAACTTTCGCAATTACTTTTTATTAAATTATAAAAATATTAATCGCTATATCTAATTAATTAAAACTATGCAAAATAATAATCGGAAAATAAAAATAAATGAAAACATATTAAAACAACGAAATTAATGAATTACAGCATAAAATTATTGATGTTATGATGTTACAAAGCGATGATATCGCAAGGAAAGTTAAGGTTTATATATAATAAAGGAAAGCGTACTGTGCTAAAAAGAACGTGTTAAAATTCCAAAAGAAACCCAGCATATATATGGAGTCGGTCAGTAGAAAAGGGGAAATCAAATTTTAGTCAAAAATTTTTTATTGGTTCACTCTACTGATCATGGTCATGTGAACAAAACTAGCTTAATAACTAAAATTTGTAGATTTCCTCCTTTTCTATTGACCACGCCCATATAATTAGAATGACATCGTTGAAATTGATCTTCAAGCTAACCAAAATTATCGAAGACGATTTATGAACCGAAAATTATGATTTTTCGGGTGGAATGTATCTAATATAACAATACAAATATTTATGCTATTATCATAATCAATTGGTTCTAGCCATTTGGTTTACTTGATTTACTTCTCTCTTCCAACGATACATTACAGTAATTACTCCTTAAAAAACTGACCAATCACAAAAATCGAGTTACGAACATATGATTCATAACGTGATTTTAATAGCAAAACTCCCATATACGGGTCAATTTTAAAATTTTTATGTTAATTGAGCCGAAAATACTAATTTGCGTGGCCTAGTTCTTACACACTCCAATTCATTCATTTTAATAAAATATTTAATAAATTGATTATGAATGATTAAAATATATGGATAGAAATTCAAGTTATGAAAATAGTAAACCATATAATCTAAATTATCAATATGTAGTGTTAGAATTGGATCTTGTCTAATTTTTAAACAATAGATTATTGGACTTTGGACCTAATAGAGATGTCTAATTCTTTCCAATTTAAATGAATTATAATTATATAATTTTTGTTAAATTATAATTTTATATACTATAATTTTGGCCAAATTTATAATACTAGCCTAACTTAAAAATTTGAATAATAATAAAATCATTCTTCTTGAATTATCAATAATAAATTCGTTTAACTAGAATGATCCTACTGACCTGACCTTGATTTTTAGGTGACAAAGACCTTGAAA